GCTATTTATATGGACATCCTCGCTCTAAACCGACTTTTGCATGCATACAATTAGCATGGACCAGTACTCCGTGCACTCGAGATAGTCATCGCGCTACAAGATGAACTATTCCATTGGGAGCCAGCAGTGACTTTTTCGCATGCTTAGGGTGGCTTATGTGGGTGATATTTCCTGTTCTTATACAGGATTTTCCATTAAAGTATTTAACTTTATACTAGACTAATGCGCACTAAGAAGGAAGGGCAATGAGCTTGTTGTGAACCACTAGTTATAACTTGGAAGCCGAAATCGGCTAAAAAAATGAAGACAAATAACTAGGCGGGCAACCACTTTTTCCTGAATTTAAGGAACAAAAAGTTCGTGACGGCCGCGCGCACACATATACAGCCATTAATATTGCGCGCTACCTAAGTAAAGTTTCTCATGCTTTTCTCCAATCCAGTAAGCACGGTCATACCGTATCGGCATCACTCTGTGGATGGTCGGCTACTTCGTCGCTGATTCTTAGTGGAAGAAAGTCCTTGTCTCCAACTGGTCCATTTGACGGGTCGGCAATTGCAGGCACCGCGGCTGGCTAAACCATCCGAATTATGAGGGCTCTAGGCGATCTGGTAAGGTTCTGTTTGGACTCTGACGTGCTTCTAATCGATCCTGACAAAAACTGTTGAGGGACCATCTTCTCTGATAGGTTTCCCGTTGTTAGAAGAGAACTCAGTGGCTTTCCTTCGTGCTTCACGAATATTTGTGAATGACCTGGTTACTTACTGACATAGCATGCCATACCGTATGATTGACTGATAGATTCAGAATAAGTGACTGTGAAACACATAAGTAATTAGCGCAATATTTTCGAAGGATGGGTTTCGAAAACAGCGATCCAACTGCGGCGAAAGCTGCATAGCTGCATAGTATTAGATATTCTCACTAATGATAATGAAATATGTTCACTTATGAGGAGCTTGTTCCCGAGGGTGATTATTGCAGAGATATTGGATCCCACAGAGGTGCTATCTCCCAGAATACAACTGAACTGACTTGTCGGCTACAATTTACAGGAATAGGCAGTCTCCCTTACAGTCAGAATCTCGATCCATGGGGATAAAGGATAAAGTCTTCGCCGTTGATCAATCCCTTTGTGGGATGCGGCACGCATTCTACTTCCATTCAGAATCGTAGTGGCTTATTGAATGCGATGTGGCCTATACAATGACTTGCGGTGGCCAGCCGATGTACAAGTCAGTGTTTTATCCTCCCAGACGAATCTGGTACCAATTTCACGTTCTAAGAGGGTGAAGGCTGGCCAGGAGGAGGTTAGGAAGGGACGCTGGTTCGGCGTTAGGGAGCGGGGAAGGAGGGATCGACATAAGAGCCTCGAGGGAAAAGCGTTCGACGACAGCCGTGGAAAGGTTCTTCGAAAGAGGGTGTAGGCGCCGAATGGTGAGCGCGTCCGCTCCAACTTGTGACTTACACCATCTTCCGCGCCGTCTAATGTCATGGGATGACGGTTTGCAAATAAAACGTTTTTCTTCGGCGTACGGAGAAAAGTCTGGCGTGAAGTCTCGAAGGTTGCTCTAATACTACCATAAGGCCTTTCAGCGGCTTCCTGGTTGGTATGCGCTGCCAGGCGTTCACCCGCTGGGGACATCGCCGTAACCTGAGGAGGCGCCTCCGTGGGCCCACATCAAGCGTCCTTGAGGTGACTGCAGTCGAAGGCAATGTCAAGGACTTGAACTTCTCCTGAAATTCCGCGCTTTTTCGTTCGAAATATGGGGGGGGTGGTAATTGTGAGTCTGAAGGGCAGCGTTGAGTTTCTGCTTTGACGGTAAAACTAGCTGAGATGTTGGTGAAACTTTTGGTCTTGTTTGGTGCATTAGAAGATTCATATAGCCTAACCTCACGAGGGAAGCCGTCGATTCCATCGCTGTCGTGTCCCATAGGCTGCTCAGGAGCAGGTTGTGGAACCACCGGTTGCTGCTCTACCACTGCCGTGTTGTCCACGAAAGGAGATGTCGCCGCTGCTGGATTGGGATTGAAAGGAGTATCGGCCTTACCAAATGATCAGAAACTCTCAGAAATTCTGTGCTGGACGCGGCTAATGTTTGACGTTCTCATGCAGAGGTAGAATCCCTAGTGGTACCTTATTGCTATTTACCCAAGTCTGCTGCCATCTCTGATCGTCACCACTCATGTACCATGGTTTCATTACGTTCTCATTGATAGCGTTCACATTATTGTTGTTGTCCACGGGAAAGGGCTGAGGCATAATAGGTGCCTGGAATAGCAAATCCTTGAAAATGGGAAAGTAGTACATTAAGAATAACACAGAAGACGATACCTCGCTCTGAACAGGGAGAGGGAACTGATTTTGGTGCATCATAGGGGGCTGAAATGGTGGTGGAGGTGGCGCCTGAAAATGACAGTTCGTATAGCCATAAATGAAAGTTCATCTGTTACAACATACAACTGAAAAATAGATCACGATGTATTCAGGAGCTATTTTCTGCCTCAGATTTGATAGGTGAAAAGTCTCATACTGTTGAATTCAAGAGTTTTGAGGGTTTCTTTCAAGAAGCTACGTTCCAGTCGCTTAAAGACACATGTACGCTCACACCATTTGGTTTAGCTGAGACTATGAGCCCCCGCACCTACCCACAGTGTCGATGTGATCGTGGCTCCCCGACTGCGAAACTACAACGGGGCTCCAGATCACAGGCCGGTGGGAGAAGTGTATTCCTTGCTACTCGCACCCCCGGCCCGAGCCAGTTCTCGCCACTCCAGTCATTTTTACTAAACACCACGCTCTTCCGCCACCTTCAACCCCACACCGCGCCCCCGCGGTACGCATGCAGCTCTCATTGGCCTTTATTGCCACCAAATCAGTGCTCATTGCACGCTTCCTGGAAACAAGTACCACCCCGCCGTGACGCAATTTGTCTATGCGGATAACATTTTAGGTGCTACAAAAACGTAAGCAACACGAAGATAACACTGAACAAGAGGGCTAGAACTCCAAAGAGCAACCTTGGTGCCTTCTGGCAGTATCCTGTCAGAGAGTCGCAGCATTCCCAGACCAGAACATGACAATAAAAACCGACCAAGGGCGTTCCACGTCGTTAGTTTGAAGTATTTCTAAAAGCTTTAAGACGGAATTCGCGCCCGGATCGGCCAGAAATGCCACCCAGCGATTTTAATTTATTGCGTTTCCTTAGTTTTTTCAATTTTGTTTTATTTACATCTACATTCGTTGTTGTTCATTTCTAGCCTTTGTCATCTTCATCACCTTCTATTCGGACTTTGAAGCATGAGCAATACCTCAAATGTTAGGAAATTGCGTTTTGCTTGTATTGTCATGCTGTCTGCTTTATATGTCATGTGTCTGATGGAATTGCGCGCTCTTGAGGATATTGCAGAAGCACGGGGGATGCCAAGTTTGCTCTTGAGTTCTAGCCCTCGTCATCATCTTCGGTTCTTATTTTGCAGCACCTAAAATGTTATCCGCATAAAGAAATTGCGTTGTACTTGTATTCCAAAGCGCAATTACAGGACTTGGCAAAAAGCCAAGAGAGCTGCACGCGACCGCGCCGCGCGGACGGTGTTAGTATAAACGTGAGGGCGGTGTAGCAAGGAATTACGACTTTCCCACGGCCCCGTACTCTGACCCCGTGCAGTTTTGGGCGGGGGACCACGACACATCGACAGCTGGGGGGCTGATAGTCTCATACACCCTCAATGTGTTTGAGCGTACCATGTGTCTTTAAGAGGCAACTGCTTGTCAGTAGTCTTTGGTAATCACGATGTTCCCAATTTTCAAATGAAAAAAAACGTTTTACTAGGCAGCGGCATTTTAAATCGTGTTCGAGCATGACTGCTAAAAATCTAATCGGAGAAGAGCCTTAGACAGTGGAAGCATCCTTTTTCAGGACTCACCTGCTGCTGGAACTGCTGTTGCGGCTGGGGCATAGGATTGAAGAAGTACACGACGGGTGGGGTCTGCTGAGGCATCATAGGCTGGTCCCAATGTGGCTGTTCCCACATTGGAGGCTGCGGAACCCAAGGTTGAGGCCAAGGTTGAGGCTGGTTGTGGAGCCCATGGCTGAGACCATGGTTGCTGTTGCATCATGGCCTGTTGCTGTTGTTGCTGCTGGAACTGAAGCTGAGCCTGGGCCTGGAAAAACTGCATCGTAACGAAACATCAACGCCCAACATAACCGCTTTTACTTAGTACACATAATTTATTTTGTCAGGTCGGAGTTACACTTAACTTGCCAGACGAATCGAATCTTATCGATGAGAACGAAGTAGGCGTGGCACTTGAACATGGCTTAAAATGGGTTACTTGTGAGACATTTCCGTTCGAGACAACTGTCATCTTGGTCTGTGATGAGTAGGGATACGACCACGATCGAGTCAAAACGAAAATATCTCTCCAGAAGCAGAGCCACCGCTACATTTAACTTAAGTACGCAGTCACGCCTACCACATCTCAGATATTTCATGTGTATGTGATGCTTATCTTCCATATTCAAATAACATCACCTAAATTATTACGATACTTGTGCATGTTTGACTTCCAAAGAGAATAAGAGGTCAGAGTTCTCATCCGTGAGTACCTTTCGAGAAGTTCACGATAAGAGTGAGACATTGAGTCTAATGGAGCCAAAGGAGTTACTCTAAGAACAATCAGAGTGGTTCCTAGAAGATATTCAGCCTACAGTGACAGTCGAATCGACCGACGTACACGTTATTAGGAGTGGTGATATAGTTTGAGATGACCTTATAATTACTTTTTCGCACCTCCGCATACTTGCCAGTGGGATAGCCCCGCTTAATTGCTTACGCTGACTGCTGACCTCATCAAGTTACTGACTATGAGTTAAGTGAATAAATATAAGTGAAGAGTTATATAGAATGGATTTTCTGTGAACGGGTAAGTGCAGTCCTCATCACTGCGGACCGGTGTGGCAGTGCGGCTGCGTTTGGTGCGGTTTGGCAAAGTCGTTCTGCACCAGTTGAAGCGGGCAAGTGCATTACTGTATTATATCCTTCGTATTACTCGTTTTCTACCACTTTTTGTCGCATACGCGTTGCAAAAAAAGGCTGAGAACGGCTTCAACAGTGTGCGCACTCCTTCTGGCTGACACGCCCCACCGGTCCGCAATGATGAGGACTGTACCCGTACCGTATATAATCCGCTAAGTTT